ACCTAATTTATATCATTTGCTTATATAATAATAAACTAGATCATACCTTTGCCGCATCATTAAGCAATGATTTGTTAATAGGATGAAATTTTTGGATTACAGAATACAGGTCTTTTGAAAATATTGTTCACGTCGGATATTTGCTTTCTAGGAACTTTCTTTATACAGTTGCTCCAAATTTGCAATTTTCAGTCATAAATTTTACATCAGCCAGCATTTTGGCAGTAAATTGTTTTTCATCTTCAAATATAATTTTGCTTGGGTTCAATAAATGGTTTTCATGAGTATCAACTATTTTGGTAATAAATATAGAACGTTCTATATTGTTAATTTTAGGATATGAGACATTGACAAGATAAAGATATTGCGTCTTTTTAGTAACTGTATTTTTTCGGTATTTGATTCGTAAAATCTTCTATGATCACATAAATAAGTTCTTCGACAAAGAACTTCATTTTTCTGAGTAATGCGACCTTTAATAAAATGAAATCCTTTATCCTTTGTCCATTCATTAAAGAATAACTCGCGATCATCCCATGTACCAAATTTTTTTTCAGAAATAAGGATGATGATTTTATTTCAATTTGTGATAGCATATTATCATGGCTCTCTATTAATAACAAAATAAAAAATATTAACATGTTAACGTTACATTTAACAATGTCCTTATTATTTATGACAAACTCTTAACAAACCTATTTCAAATTCAGAATCCCATGGCTTCTTCAGTCATAAAATCATTTAATGCTTTATTTGTAAAATGTTTTTGCTCTTTATTCTCTTCATTTATAACAAAGAAATCTTCTAGTTTTTTATTTATAGTCAAAAAGTTATTCTGGTTTTCATCTATAGCGAAATGTAAATAACAACACAAAAAAAAACTAGTTTGTAATATCAGGTAAACTTGAGTTAGTTTTTATCTAATAAATATGTCTTAAGAAATCAAGACTTTAGTTTAAAATTATCATACTTATCCAAAAAGTACTTTTACTATCAAATATGTCTGCTAAAATAAACATCAGGAAAAAGATTATTGAAATCAGATGCTCTTAATTCAGATTCTAATAAAAATTCTAATGTTAATACTGCGAATATAATAGGCAATAGAGATCTTTACCTCTTTATGGCTTTATTAAACATTCAATAAAACTACTACTTGCATTTTAATGACACTTCAATGATATCACAATGCAAAACCTGAAGGCTATTGATGTATTATCAAATAAAAAATTCACACCT